TCTCCAGAAATCAATGTTGTTTGCGTTGACTAGAGTTGTTGCAGGATTCGAAGTCTGTGTGCAGATCTGAATCATTTTTATGTAGACTGCTGGTTCCTTTCTCTCAGGCAGATGCATTCTGACTTCGAAAGAAATGTCGATCCTATCCACTCGTATGTTTTTCAGCTTTCAGATTGTGAATATGTTTCTAGGATGACTGTGCAGAGGTGAAGACAGGTATTTACCAGTATAAACCCTAGCCCTGGCCCACCACCAATCACCAGTTCTGGTTCAACACCTCTGCATTGAAAGATTCCATCAACCAGGTGCCGTCTCCACAGTAAAGGTTGACTGCAATTGATTAACATTCTCTTTGTCTTTTCTTGGTTGTTTACTCTCTCAGCCTGTCCTTCGTCCATCTCTTGGTGTTGTCTTCTCAATTATATCCCCATCAAGCTTCTGCTCACTGGCCTCGGACTCTTCCATCCAAAATGATACTTAAAAATAGTGTATAGAGCTATCTTTACATTCCCAGCATTTTCAGAACCTAACTATTCACTTGTTCGTGTTTCCACGAATGCGACATGTTCATTGTCCAGGACACATCGTCAACAGTTAGATAACTCGTGGTCAACACAGAGCTGACATATGAAAAACACTGAGCTGACCTACGAACAAAAATGAGTTGACATGACCATAATGAGCTGTCATATGAGCTACAATTAGCTGACATGACCAATAATGAACTGACATATGAGCAACAATGAGCTGACGTGACTAACAATGAGCTGACATATAAACAAAAATGAGCTGACATGACTAACAATGAGCTGACATGACTAACAATGAGCTGACATATGAACAACAATGTTCTGACATGGCTAACAATGAGCTGACATATGAACAACAATGAGCTGATATGACTAACAATGAGCTGACATATGAACAACAATGAGCTGATATGACTAACAATGAAATGACATGACTAACAATGAGCTGATATGACTAACAATGAGCTGACATATGAACAACAATGAGCTGATATGACTAACAATGAGCTGACATATGAACAACAATGAGCTGATATGACTAACAATGAAATGACATGACTAACAATGAGCTGACATGACTAACAATGAGCTGACATGACTAACAATGAGATGACATGACTAACAATGAGCTGACATGACTAAAAATGAGCTGACATGACTAACAATGAGATGAAATGAGTAACAATGAGCTGACGTATGACAAACAATGAGCTGACATATGACCAACAATGAGCTTACATATGCCCACAATGAACTGACAGATGACCAACAATGAGCTGACATATGACCAAAAATGAGCTGACATATGACCAACAATGAGTTGCCACGTGGCCAACACTGAGCTGACATACAAGCAACAGTGATGTGATAAATCACCAACACTGAGATGCACCGCAGTACCGTGATATGAAGGTCCTCTATCCGTCTCTTGAAGCCGTGGTTGCCGTAGTGTTTCGCCTCATGGTAGTTATAGCCATCCCTGTAGTACTGGAGCTGTGAATGTACAACACAGGTACTGACTTTATAACATTCTTCTTCTTTTTCTTCTACTTCTTCCTCCTCCCTTCCTCCTCTTCATTATTCTCCTCCTTCGTTTATTCTTTATTTTAGAGGGAAAAAAGGGGGAGGGGAAGCACACACAAATCGGCCATGTTCAACCCAGTGGAAAATTTAAAACAGCTTCATTTAAAATTGTGGTTCTCCTCCTATTCTTCCCTCTTTTTCTTCTTCTTTTTCTTCTTCTTCTTCTTCTTTTTCTTCTTCTTCTTCTTCTTCTTCTTCTTCTTCTTCTTCTTCTTCTTCTTCTTCTTCTTCTTCTTCTTCTTCTTCTTCTTCTTCTTCTTCTTCTTCTTCTTCTTCTTCTTCTTCTTCTTCTTCTTCTTCTTCTTCTTCTCCTCCTCCTCCTCCTCCTCTTTTTTCGCCTTCTCCTTCTTTGTTCGTTCATTCGTTCTTTAAGGATTGGTGGGGACAAAAAAATTGCAGCCACGTTCAACCCTGCCGAGAACTGGAAAAAAAAACAGCTCCGGTTATAATTGCGGTTCTCCTCCTGCTGCTGCTGCTTTTTCTTCTTCTTCTTCTTCTTCTTCTTCTTCTTCTTCTTCTTCTTCTTCTTCTTCTTCTTCTTCTTCTTCTTCTTCTTCTTCTTCTTCTTCTTCTTCTTCTTCTTCTTTTCTTCTTCTTCTTCTTCGTCTTCTTCTTCTTCTTCTTCTTCTTCTTCTTCTTCTTCTTCTTCTTCTTCTTCTTCTTCTTCTTCTTCTTCTTCTTCTTCTTCTTCTTCTTCTTCTTTCTTTTTCTTCTTCTTCTTTTTCTTTCTTCTTCTTCTTCTTCTTCTTCTTCTTCTTCTTCTTCTTCTTCTTCTTCTTCTTCTTCTTCTTCTTCTTCTTCTTCTTCTTCTTCTTCTTCTTCTTTCTTCTTTTTTCTCTTCTCTCTTCTTCTTCTTCTTCTTCTTCTTCTTCTTCTTCTTCTTCTTCTTCTTCTTCTTCTTCTTCTTCTTCTTCTTCTTCTTCTTCTTCTTCTTCTTCTTCTTCTTCTTCTTCTTCTTCTTTCTTCTTCTTCTTCTTCTTTCTTCTTCTTCTTCTTCTTCTTCTTCTTCTTCTTCTTCTTCTTCTTCCTCTTCTTCTTCTTCTTCTTCTTCTTCTTCTGCGTTTATCCGAAGACGTAAATGCGCTTTGATTACATCAAGTGCCTCATTCTAATATTATTAGCAATTTAACCACTAGAATCGAGTGTGAGCAGCACTGTAACGGGGAGAACTAAACAAAATAAGACAGGCTATAGCAGTATATGTTGCATTAACCCAACAGATGGTGATTACAGAAAATACGAACTACAATATTTAAAAAAAAAATACGCTCATTAAATTACACTCTGCTTTGTACGAGGTTGAACGGGCTATCTGTCGTGCTGGCCTGCCTTCCATAGTTTTTTTTTAAATCGCAGGATGGAATACGACGAATCTTTGGACCCATCAAAGATGCAAACAGCGGTGAATGGAGAGTGAGAAGCAACGAAGAAATTCATAATCTGTAGAAATCACCATTGATCAATTGCATTATGAGAGCTAATAGACTGAAATGGTTGGGGCATATTGAAAGAATTCTCGTCACGAAACAGATATCTAAGCCTCGATTGTGACAGGTGATAACTACAGCAATGAATCTCAAGGGCTCGGAATGCTGAAGAAGAAGATATTGAAAGAATGTCAGATGACAAAGAAGTGAAAACTGTATACACCAGGAAGATGAATGGTCGGAGACCACGAGGCAGACCAAAAAGACTACGCAGATCTACAAACACTTGGTGTCACCAACTGGAAAGAGAAGTGAACCAGAGAGATGAATGGAGGCGGGTGATATCTGCAGCAGTGAACCCCAAGAGCTCGGAATGCTGTTGAAGAAGAAGAAGAAGAAGAAGAAGAAGAAGAAGAAGAAGAAGAAGAAGAAGAAGAAGAAGAAGAAGAAGAAGAAGAAGAAGAAGAAGAAGAAGAAGAAGAAGAAGAAGAAGAAGAAGAAGAAGAAGAAGAAGAAGAAGAAGAAGAAGAAGAAGAAGAAGAAGAAGAAGAAGAAGAAGAAGAAGAAGAAGAAGAAGAAGAAGAAGAAGAAGAAGAAGAAGAAGAAGAAGAAGAAGAAGAAGAAGAAGAAGAAGAAGAAGAAGAAGAAGAAGAAGAAGAAGAAGAAGAAGAAGAAGAAGAAGAAGATCGTAGATCTCTTCCTCTCATCCGTTCTCTCATCCGATCCACACTTAATTCCTCGTTCCCAATTCATGCCCACGTTATTTCATCTAATCTCGTGTCTTTTGTCAGCAGTCGTTCATACATGGTCTTCAGAATAACCCCCTTCTCCATTATGAGTGTTCCTGTAGCTTTCACTTTTGTAGCCAGATAATCCGCTCTTTCATTCCCTCGTACTCCTGCACATCCAGGGCAGTATATCCACGTGATTCTCTGCAATGCTGACGTACTGATGCATGGTTTCCACTCATGCCACATTAGTCCATTCTGAACCGTCCACAGTGCCAACTGAGAATCAGACACAATAATACATTTGGCAACTTTTTTTTTCTGTTGTAAAATTCAGAGATGTAGTGATTGCCTCCACTTCCATCCTCATGCTTGACGTTCTAGATTTAACAAAAGATCCGTTTTGTTCTGCCACAAAGTTTCCCTTTATTCTAGCTGAAAATCCCCAGCCAAATTTCACGCCCCGATGAACAGAGCCATCGACGTACACTACTGCATCGTTCAAAATGAACGCTAAGCGGTCACTGTTTGCTCCATTTGTAGACTGGAAGGATATATTTTAGTTGCCCAGCTACTGAGTTAAGTGCATGGTGCGACACTGTGAGCTGTTAATTTTATTTGGAATGTTTTTCTGCTGTGACCAACGTGGTGTTGTGTTGTGAATTGTAGATTCAGAAAATGGAGTAATGCCTGTCGACACAATATTAGTGGTGCCCTTATGTGATTAAAACTTATCGCGTGTGCAACTGCTGATTTGAAGGTTACCTCTGCTACCGTCGATGATGAACTGCATTTCTAATGTCGGACTGTTTGTGTTAGCACTTCTGATGGCTACCGTATGCTTTTAATGCGTGTGTATGCTAGTGCATATGCTGAAACAGCAGTCTGTCAATCTCTCCACAAAGGACTGTGATAAACATTCTGTGTGTTTTTCGTTGGCACAGGAACAGAGCAACTATGGGGTGACCCGTTTGCCATGAAGCCGAAACTAGCATTAATATTAACATTAACTACTGCATCATCTAGCCCAGCCTTTCCATCTGTCAGTAGTTGTACCTCTAATTCCGCCTTACTTTTACACCCAACTCTACACGGCAGGTTGTGTGCCAGCGCTTCCATCAATACACCTCCACCACCATAAGGGGTCAAGGGTTATGTTATGTGTGTTACTGTGCACTTACGTCTCGTTCAGAAATTTCCAGCTTGCTGGCGATGTTAGCCATCAGCACGGCGGTTAATGTGGTGGACAGTATGAGTATCCACTTGCCCACTCTATGGGTGACAAATCGGTACAGCGGACCCTTGAAGAAACGGACAATAACATTGGGACGTTTTGTTTTGGGCTGTTGTCTGACAGGCGGTGGGAAGAAGATCTGCCACGGCCACGGGAGCTGCGCTAGATGCTGTTGCAACAACCTCAGATAAGTAAATGAAGCTACAACGGGTACATGTAACAAAAATCTTAAAAGGGTACACGTAACAACATTCTAAAATATGTGCATGCAACAACCTCAGACGAGTACACGTAACTACCGCACATTAGTACACGTAACTACTTCAAACAAGTACACGTAACTACTTCAAACATGTACACGTAACTACTTCAAACAAGTACACGTAACTACTTTAAACAAGTACACTTAACAACATCACACAAGTACACGTAACTACTTTAAACAAGTACACTTAACAACCTCACAAAAGTACTCGTAACTACTTCAAACATGTACACGTAACTACTTCAAACAAGTACACGTAACTACTTCAAACATGTACACGTAACTACTTCAAACAAGTACACGTAACTACTTCAAACAAGTACACGTAACTACTTCAAACATGTACACGTAACTACTTCAAACAAGTACTCGTAACTACTTCAAACATGTACACGTAACTACTTCAAACAAGTACACGTAACTACTTCAAACAAGTACACGTAACTACTTTAAACATGTACACGTAACTACTTCAAACATGTACACGTAACTACTTCAAACAAGTACACGTAACTACTTCAAACATGTACACGTAACTACTTCAAACATGTACACGTAACTACTTCAAACAAGTACACGTAACTACTTCAAACATGTACACGTAACTACTTCAAACAAGTACACGTAACTACTTCAAACATGTACACGTAACTACTTCAAACAAGTACACGTAACTACTTCAAACAAGTACTCGTAACTACTTCAAACATGTACACGTAACTACTTCAAACAAGTACTCGTAACTACTTCAAACATGTACACGTAACTACTTCAAACAAGTACACATAACTACATCAAACAAGTACACGTAACTACTTCAAACAAGTACTCGTAACTACTTCAAACAAGTACACGTAACTACTTCAAACAAGTACTCGTAACTACTTCAGACATGTACACGTAACTACTTCAAACAAGTACACGTAACTACTTCAAACAAGTACTCGTAACTACTTCAAACATGTACACGTAACTACTTCAAACAAGTACACGTAACTACTTCAAACATGTACACGTAACTACTTCAAACAAGTACACGTAACTACTTCAAACAAGTACTCGTAACTACTTCAAACATGTACACGTAACTACTTCAAACAAGTACACGTAACTACTTCAAACAAGTACACGTAACTACTTCAAACAAGTACTCGTAACTACTTCAAACAAGTACACGTAACTACTTCAAACAAGTACACGTAACTACTTCAAACAAGTACACGTAACAACCTCACCCAAGTACTCGTAACTACTTCAAACAAGTACTCGTAACTACTTCAAACATGTACACGTAACTACTTCAAACAAGTACACGTAACTACTTCAAACAAGTACACGTAACAACCTCACCCAAGTACTCGTAACTACTTCAAACAAGTACTCGTAACTACTTCAAACATGTACACGTAACTACTTCAAACAAGTACACGTAACTACTTCAAACAAGTACACGTAACTACTTCAAACAAGTACACGTAACAACCTCACCCAAGTACTCGTAACTACTTCAAACAAGTACTCGTAACTACTTCAAACATGTACACGTAACTACTTCAAACAAGTACACGTAACTACTTCAAACAAGTACACGTAACAACCTCACCCAAGTACTCGTAACTACTTCAAACAAGTACTCGTAACTACTTCAAACAAGTACACGTAACTACTTCAAACAAGTACACGTAACTACTTCAAACAAGTACACGTAACTACTTCAAACAAGTACACGTAACTACTTCAAACAAGTACTCGTAACTACTTCAAACAAGTACACGTAACTACTTCAAACAAGTACTCGTAACTACTTCAGACATGTACACGTAACTACTTCAAACAAGTACACGTAACTACTTCAAACAAGTACTCGTAACTACTTCAAACATGTACACGTAACTACTTCAAACAAGTACTCGTAACTACTTCAAACATGTACACGTAACTACTTCAAACAAGTACACGTAACTACTTCAAACAAGTACTCGTAACTACTTCAAACATGTACACGTAACTACTTCAAACAAGTACACGTAACTACTTCAAACAAGTACACGTAACTACTTCAAACAAGTACTCGTAACTACTTCAAACAAGTACACGTAACTACTTCAAACAAGTACACGTAACTACTTCAAACAAGTACACGTAACAACCTCACCCAAGTACTCGTAACTACTTCAAACAAGTACTCGTAACTACTTCAAACATGTACACGTAACTACTTCAAACAAGTACACGTAACTACTTCAAACAAGTACACGTAACAACCTCACCCAAGTACTCGTAACTACTTCAAACAAGTACTCGTAACTACTTCAAACATGTACACGTAACTACTTCAAACAAGTACACGTAACTACTTCAAACAAGTACACGTAACTACTTCTAACAAGTACACCTAACAACCTCACCCAAGTACTCGTAACTACTTCAAACAAGTACTCGTAACTACTTCAAACATGTACACGTAACTACTTCAAACAAGTACACGTAACTACTTCAAACAAGTACACGTAACAACCTCACCCAAGTACTCGTAACTACTTCAAACAAGTACTCGTAACTACTTCAAACAAGTACACGTAACTACTTCAAACAAGTACACGTAACTACTTCAAACAAGTACACGTAACTACTTTAAACAAGTACACGTAACTACTTCAAACAAGTACACGTAACTACTTCAAACAAGTACTCGTAACTACTTCAAACAAGTACACGTAACAACCTCACAAAAGTACTCGTAACTACTTCAGACATGTACACGTAACTACTTCAAACAAGTACACGTAACAACCTCACCCAAGTACTCGTAACTACTTCAAACAAGTACACGTAACTACCTCACATTAGTACACGTAACAACCTCACACAAGTGCTCGTAACTACTTCAAACAAGTACACGTAACAACCTCACCCAAGTACTCGTAACTACTTCATACAAGTACACGTAACTATTTCAAACATGTACACTAACAACCTCGCACAAGTACACGTAACTACTTTAAACAAGTACACTTAACAACCTCACACAAGTACACGTAACTACTTCAAATAAGTACACGTAACTACTTCAAATAAGTACACGTAACTACTTCAAATAAGTACACGTAGCTACTTCAAACATGTGCCGCTCCGCTTCAATTCGTCATATTCTTATTCGTGATCACCGACTGTAAACTCTGGCAAACACATCTTGTTTTTTAGGCCACTACTGAACGTTCCAGGACTTTGGTTTTGCGTGCACTTCGATTTTTACAGTTGTGGCTTATTTGTGTACAGACTGATGTCTCCATGCCTCTCGGCCAGATGTGCACCAACTTCAAAGGAAACGTCAATCTTATCTTCTCTTCTTTTTTCTTCTTCTTTTTTTTTTTTTTTTTTTTTGCGTTCACCAGCTGTAAACACTGGTGGACAAGTTCTGATTGTTCGTTTACTTCTGGACTGCAGTCATGTTCCAGAACCTGAGTGTTGCGTGTACAACCGTTTGACAGATCTGACACATTTGTGTGCAGACTGTTGGTTCCTTGCCTCTCAGGCAGATGCACCTCGACTTCGAAGGAAGCTCCCAATTAGTAGTCTCTTACGACCTGCTTTTGGGTAGGCAGTGGGTCTATTCTTGTTTTCCCTATAATAGCACCCCAGAACCCACACGGGGGTCGATCCTATCAACATTGGTCAGACTGCTTGTTCAGAAAGTGTTTCAAGACGTGCAGAGGTGTAAGTAAATCTTATCCACTATGAGCCTGGGCCCTGGAGCAAAACAGTTAGATAGATAGTCAGTCATTCCTTTTGAGCCAGGGGTGGCGCATAGGACAGATGTCATAGCTCTCCATGTCTGGCGATTCGTTGCCACCTGTTCTAGGTCTTGAATGTTTGTTAGGCCTATGGTTGAAGCGTCCTTGATGATGGTTCTACGTAGTGTCTTTTGGTCTTCCCCGTTTTCGTTTCCCTTCCTGTGTCCATATGAGGGTTTGATGAAAAAGTCTTGTCCTATCCATTCTGAGTGCATGGCTCATGTAATTCCAACGGCGCTTTTTTTTATATTAATTTGGATATATTACCTTGCTTGGCCTATTGCCGTCTTTGCGTATTGGATTTGAAATCTGTCCAGTTGTGATTCAGTATTCTTCTAAGAAATATTTTCTCAAAAATTGTCTATTTTTATTTTCTTTTTTAACCTAGAGCTACTTTTGCTTTCCAACTCTCGCATCCATAAGTTAGTACTGGAATCCCACACAAGTTTAAGATACTAGGTTTTTGTGTGTGTGTGTGTGTGTGATTGCTGAATGTTTGACTTCCAGTTGTTTGACAGTTTGTTAAAGGCATTAGATGCCAGTGCTATTCTAGCTAATATTTCTCGAGCTGAGTCCCTTATAGACTTCATCTTATACTTCCTAGGTATGTTAAGCATTGAGTAAAATAAAGGATCTTAATCCAGGCGTGTTAGGCATCTATATTTTATAGGCCAGTCGACACTTGACCGGTGATGTGGTCAGCATCACGCCCGGTGGCTTTACTTCCCTGGACTGTACCTGGTACTCATTTAAGACTGCGTGATGCTGGGAGTAATTTTTTTGTTTAAAGCCCGGCTACATCAGGATTTGAACAAAAGACCTTCCGATCCGCAGGCCCGCAACATCACTGGAGACCCTGCAGCAGCGCCCATTTAAATATTGCACTACCAACATTTTTAACGCATCTAAAGGGAAACAAAGAAAACCCAAAAAGACTTCAACACATACTTTGTGGTACACGATGACACATATAGGGAAGAAGAGGATGGCCGACAGGTAGTTGATAATCACCAGTATGGTGGTGAAGATGGCGAAGCTGCTGATGCCGAACAGCGGGGTAAAGATGTTGGAGGCAAAGGCTGCCGCTGTGGTGAAGGAGGTGATCAACATGGACATGCTGGCATGTTTGTAGCAGTACCTGCAGGACAAACATATGTGTATGTATAGCTGGTCTATTTGTGACAGTACCTGCAGGACAAACATACGTGCATGTATGGCTAACCTTTTTGTGGCAGTACCTGCAAGACAAACATATGTGTATTTATAGCTGGCCTATTTGTGGCAGTACCTGCAGGACAAACATACGTGTATGTATGGCTAACCTATTTGTGGCAGTACCTGCAAGACAAACATATGTGTATGTAAAGCTGGCCTATTTGTGATAGTACCTGTAGGACAAACATATGTGTATGTAGGGCTAGCCTTTTCATAGCAGTACCTGCAGAATAAACATACGTGTATGCACAGCTGGTCTATTTGTAGCAGTACCTGCAGGACAAACATATGTGTATGTATAGCAGGCCTATTTACAGCACCACCTGCAGGATGTCGGCGTCTGTGGCCTAGGCGTTGCGAACGCACTTCCTAATGTCGGGGGGCCGGGTTCGATCCCAGCTGTGGGCCTTGCTTTGGCTTTGACTGTGGTATCGAGAAACCGACCGTCCAGAAAGCAATGGCAAACTACATGACGTGAACCTGCCTAGTAAACCCATAACAGCCAAAAAATACTAGGGTTGGTTTTGCAACGTCCTGTAAAGTAAAGGAAACTATCTGTTTAACCTGCAGGATAAATATACGTGTGTGTACGGCAACAGTACCTGCTGGAGAAACACATATGTATAAAAGGCTGGCCTGTTTGTATCAATACTTTCAGGACAAACATATGTGTACGTACGGCTGGTGTGTTTGTACCCTGGATGATATACACAATAATATGTACCGCTTGTGTGTTTGTACCCTGAATGATATACACAATAATATGTACGACTGGTGTGTTTGTACCCTGGATGATATACACAATAATATGTACGGCTGGTGTGTTTGTACCCTGAATGATATACACAATAATATGTACGGCTGGTGTGTTTGTACCCTGGATGATATACACAATAATATGTACGGCTGGTGTGTTTGTACCCTGGATGATACACACAATAATATGTACGGCTGGTGTGTTTGTAGCAGTGAATGCAGGATAAACACATCGATATGAACTGATGGAAAATAATGTCTTTTTGCTTTATACTTCGTCTTTATAGCTGAAAAGAATTTCTCTTATTTTGAAATGCAAAGTCTTTGGTCAAATTCTTAATCTTCTGTAACACATCTATTGATTGATTTGATTGATTTGCATCTTTCCGTCTTTCCAGACGATAATGTTATTTTGAGCTCTGAGGAGGCATGGGACTCACAGCCCATGGCGATGGCGAGTGTGACTAGCAACACATCTATACTTAACAGAGATAAGGCATCTAGTCTGCCTTATTGCATTGTTATTTTGCTGGGATTTTTAAGTATATTTTAACTGAGAAGATAAACGCTCAGCTCCAAAGTAACTAAGAATTTGTGTGGTGCCCCTCCTTAGTTTTGATGCCCTAAACACGCGCTTAGTGAGTTAATGGTTAACCCAGCCTTGCGTGTAACACACTAGCATCTACGCATGTTTACTATCAACTTCTTTCGAAGTCAGATTACCTCTGCCAGAAAGGCAAGATGCAATACACTGCACACAAATAAACCAGTAAAACGTATAGCTAAAAAGTAAAGAGTAAAAATACCCTTTCCCACACCTTTAGGCGTATAGAGCATATAGGGCTAGACCTATATTTTATAGACCAATCGGCACAAGACAGGAGATGTGGTCAGCATCACACAGCCGCCTTTACTTCCCAGGATTGCAGCCGGTACCCACTCAAGGCTGGGTCGACCTGGGAGCCGAGCTCATTTTTGAAAAAAGTCCGGCTCCACTAGGGAGAGAAACCACGACCCTCCGATCCACGACGAGCGTCTAGCCGCTCCGCCACGGCGACTCCAAGTAAAACGTATGTACACATAAAAACGCAGGTGCTGTCACAATACCAAAGTCCAAATGTTCTAACAAACACGATTTTCGGTTGGGTTTCACAGTCAGTGAACGCAAACAAACACCTTTAGTCGGTTGCAAAGGTTGTGGCCAACTTTAAATGACTGTAGCTCAGTAACCGTTCATCCTAAATTGTTGAAATTTAGTCTTGGTAATCTTAGTATTCTTAGTTCCAGCTTCATAGCAAACGGGTCACCCCATAGTTGCTCCGCTCCTGTGCCAACGAAAAACACACAGAATGTTCGTCACAGTCCCTTGTGGAAAGATCGACGGACTGCTGTCTCAGCATATGCACTAGCATACACACGCATTGAAAGCATACGGTAGCCATCAGAAGTGCTAACACAAACAGTTTGACATTAGAATTGCAGTTCATCATTGACGGCAGCAGAAGTTACCAACAACACATCAGCAGTTGCACACGCGATCAATATTAATCACATAAGGGCACCACCAATATTGCGGCGACAGACCACGCACCATTTTCTGAATCTACAATTCACAACACAACATCACGTTGGTCACAGTCGAAAAACATTCTAAATGAAATCCGCAGCTCACAGGGTCGCGCCATGCACTCAACTCAGTAGCTGGCGCGACAAAACTATATCCTTTCAGTCTACAAATGGATCAAAAATACAACGGCCACCGTCTGGCAGAAGCAACGCGAAACCGTGACCATAGTAGTACATGCCGCTAAAAATCCATATATTTTGAGGTGTGAGGTATGCAGATTTTTGAGGTGTGAGGTTTGCAGATTTTTTTTTTTTTTTTTTTGAGAAGATTTTTTTTTCTGCAACCAGAAATCTTCAACCCTCACCAAAACCAACCCAGCCCAGTCAGCAACCCTCAATCTCACACCTCAAAATCTTCATACCTCACACCTTAAAAATCTTCATACCTCACACCTTAAAAATCTTCATACCTCACACCTTAAAAATCTTCATACCTCACACCTTAAAAATCTTCATGCCTCACACCTTAAAAATCTTCATATCTCACACCTTAAAATCTTCATACCTCACACTTTGAAATCTTCATACCTCACACCTTGAAATCTTCATACCTCACACCTCAAAATATATGAATTATTAGCGGCATATACTACTGACCATGCCCTGTGTCCATTTTGACCGGACATTTAGTGAGCGGCCTGTTAATAATTATGTCCTTGTAAGACAATAATTATAGTGTAAAGGTGCCTTTGTGGTATGGGGGGGGGGGGGGGGGGGGTAGCGGGGGGAGATTCAAAGCATAAAATTAGCATGTTTACTTAATGGATCTTCTACTTCTTCAGGATTCGGAGCCCTTGAGGTTCACTGCTGCAGATATCACCCGCCACCATTCATCTCTTTGGTTAGTCTTCTCTCTCCAGTTGGTGACACCAAGTGTTTGCAGGTCTGTCCGTATATTATCTCTCCGTCATCTTCTTGGTCTCCCTCGTGGTATACGACCATTCCTCTCCCTGACAATCTGGTGTATACAGTTTTTACCTCTCTGTCATTCTTTTAATATGCCCCAACCATTTCAGAATATTTTGACTCTCATGATGCCAGTGATCGGTGGTGATTTAAATAGATTATAAATTTCGTTGTTGCTTCTCACTCTCCATTCACCGCTGATTGCATCTTTGATACAGTCAATGGATGACTGGCAAAGTATCACATCGCACCTTTTTTGGAAGTAATCTCTGCGAAACACAAAGGCGCCAAAACTGCCAATTAATGCCTTTATTTTACCACTGTTGCGGTGTAGAGGATCCGCATGGCTGGTGCTGTCGCCACGACTGTGCAGGTGAGGGTTTTATTTTGCCCCTGACAGTCAAAAAATTCCCAGCCTTACCGAGGATTCGAACCCTAATCTCCTGCTTGAAAGCTCAGCGTTCTAACCATTCGGCCAGCCGCTCCTCACACAAAGGCGGACTTATTTTAAAATATGGAAGTGCATACGCCATGTACTGCCACGATGGTTGCTGATTGATTGGAAAAAAAAAATAAACGATTTGTGTCAGTAACTGAGCAATCTTTTTTTTTTTAATGAAAATAAAAATTAGTCCAACAAAGATCACACAAGTTGGCCGCTTAAATAAAACAGCAGCATCTGTGCAATTGTAAATTACGAAATTATAAGGATTTGGAAAATCTAAGGCCGCATCAAAAATATAATAATCTGTGCAGGAGTTTTCGAGATATTTGTTAAAGTTTGACGGCACGACTTTTGGAATTGACTGTAACCACTAACATACGTGAACCGCTGCTCCACTGTTTGCAGGTCCATACAGGCCGTGATCCGCCACATGTCGTAGAAGACAAACATGTCGTCGGAACCAATGCCCATGATGATGAATATCGACAGGGCGTGGAGGATGCCGAAATATCTACAGATTGAAATGTCAAAGATTTAGAGAGAGTCACATGGAGAACAACTAAGGCAATTACTAATAAACTACAAACATTCAACTAAGGCAATTACTAATAAATTACAAACATTCAACTAAGGCAATCTATATATATAAAAATCAATGTTTGTGTGTTTGTTTGGTCTCTATAGACTCGGAAACTACTGAACCGATTTAGCTGAAATTTTCAGGATATGTTTGTTGTGATACCGGATTTTGAACCGTCGTGGTTTGAAATTCAACCTGTCACTGTTAGAGATAGGTGACCACAATTTATGCCAAAATATACGCAACTAATATTTATAACTTTAGTGATTTCTAATTATAGCCACGTTAGTAATTGCGCATGCGCCGTATTTACCATTCGCCGGCGAGTTACGTGCAGCCAACGCCTTCTCTAATACTAATACATAGAGTAGGTCGTGGTACAGCAAACAAGACTATCTCTATATTTGCCACAATAACCATATTAAACACGATTTCTATTTTCTGTTTTTTTTTTTTCAAACAACCTTCGATTGGGGGGGGGGGGGGGGGGAATCAAGGACTATCTCGACGTCGGCGCAGACATTGACTGCGTCATTAACTTCATTAGACAGGTGCGATTTCCATTGTCTTTCTTTTCTAAAAACCTTTGATGAGGGAGAGGGTACTAGGTGGATTTAGTTGTGGGGGGGGGGTGGGGGGTGATGAAAGATTATCTCAAATTACGCCACAGCAACGCGTGGCCGGGTACAGCTAGTTACTAATAAACTACAAACATTCAACTAAGGTAATTACCAATAAACTACAAACGAGAGAGTTATTCTCAAACTAACACACGACACAGAGCTAAACACATTATACAGCGTCCCGGCGAGTAAGGTGTAACCCGCCTAGTGCGTGATTTCTGTTACACTGTATACGAACGAGGTAGGTAGGTGAAGGTAAAAAGGTGAAGTCGAGAGATGTGAACCAGCGTCATTGCACATGGTTATAAACCACAAGTAATCTGTCACCAGTACGGACAGCTGATGAGAAACTGTCCGCCTGTGTCACCGTCCGCACGTAACTCCGTAGCTACAGCGACGTTCGTCCATTCACCCCAGAGTGTCAACTCTGGTACCCATTCCTAGGGGCTGGGTGAACCTAGGGAACCACTCGGTTTCGAGTCGCAGCTGGGTTTGAAAGCGAGCTCCCTATCGCGGCTCACTTTGAGGTAGGTAGGCAATTAGGTAGTTGTACCCAACCAGGACATCACACACGTGATTAACACCCGGTGACACACTATGCCACCATGCGGATGAGGATCACCCGTGGAGAGGTCCCAGAAACTCTATTCAGCCGTTAGGCTTTATCTAAGGCCTAGGCCATATCTTCGGCCCTGCTATATTCAGGGTCCCCGGCAGAAGCCAAGGTGGGCTTCAAATAAAAAAATTGCATCCCACATAGGGACGACTTTACCTATGTATACGAACGATTCAGGCACGAGTCTCTAATAGAAGTCACGCCAGCCACTTTGAAACGTCCTACTCCAAATATTCACTTGAACAGAGTGAGAATAACCTTGGACCGAGGGTTCCGGGAATAATAAGAATAAACTCACAGGGAGCAAGTACAGCGGGGATCTACAGTCATCAGTAGAAATTATCCTCTTTCGACACACGTTTCGGCCCACGATTCCTAAACGTATTCGGAGGTGGGCCCACCTGAGTTCATGACACTCAGGGCTGCTTCCCCGCTGCACAGATTACCGGATGGTGTTATACTTTCGGCCAGAGACAAGACGACTTAGTGGTTTCGAAGGAGGTACTGTGAGATAAGAAGTCGCCACGGCAGCTTAATTAGAACAGTCAGCGTGCCTGGACGACCGAGCGACAAGCTTATTTTGGTTTACCGGACACATCTTGGACTTTTATTAGCAGTTGGCAGAGAGACACTGGCAGACAATTCGTACACGATGGACTTTTCAAAGGGATAAGAAACTCTTTTCCACTAGATACCCGGACCAACTCACCGAGGCCCGTCCCCTACGTTGTTGCGTTGCGTCCACAACCAGCTAGAGGCCCTTTCGGCCACCTCTCCCAGTTTTTTGAGTGCCCGTTTCCGTTCATTACCGCGCAATCCTAACTCTTTAACCACATTGTAGAGCGAAGTGGAAACGAGGCCTCTCGCTCCCACTTCGACGGCAAATACCCGCACTGTGTAAGCCTCGTTTCTCCTCAAACCGGCTGCTAAATCACTGTATTTCTCGAGCTTATACAAATGATTCTCCTCCATCCGCGACTCAAACGGGACCGTCAACTCAATCAGGATGAGTTGCCGTTTTTTTTGCGCAGAATGGAGAACGATGTCCGGTCGCAGGCCGGTTTTACGGATCAACTCGGGATACCGTTCATGTCCTGGCAGATCAACCGCCAGTAACCAGTCCCTCGCAGAGTCTAGTACAGATGGAGCGAATGCGTTTTTGTTGACCTTACCGATTGGAACCTGCCCAGCCTTGAGGGAAACGAATGGGGGCGATACTAGAACTGGCTCTGGCGTTAGCCCTCATTCTAGCCTGGTCGACAACGGCTGCTAACTCCTTTAGCACCTTGTTGTGGCGCCAGGTATAGCGGCCTTGACCTAGAGCTTTCCTGCACGCGGACAGGACGTGCTCAAGAGTTTGCTTTGATTTGCACAACGGGCAAGTCGGATCGTTGGTCGCAGACCATTTAACCATGTTAACACCGGACGGTAATACATCGTACGCCGAACGAACGATAAAGCTCAGTCGCAGCGGGGTCATCCGCCAGATCTCACCCCATGTGAGTATTCTCGGCAATGCGCTCTCCAGGCTGACCCAATGGCCCTGCTGCGACTGTTGGGCTGCTTTCTGGACCCGAACCTCGTTTTCGTTGTCCCTCACCGTTTGTATCACCATGTCTCGGCGCTCTTTGGCTGAGGCCTTTGACCACCAATTGACCTTCCCGTGCCCTAGGCCTCGACGGTCGGTTTGTGTGTAACCCATTACCTCCTTCAATTTTAGTGCGTTCTGAGCAGATTCAATTGCATCGAGGACTCTCCACTTCTGACCAGTCTTTAGAGCGGGCTGGACAGCGATGACATTTGGGTCTGAGGACTCACGCAAAAGCATGGCGAGCCTAACTTTGCCGACTTTAAACTCTTCGGTTATCGACTTGAACGGAAGTACCAGCTTAGCCTGTTTGCAATACAGAGCCACGTCGGTCAGACAAGGCGGTGCTCCAATCCACTTTCTTAAGGCTGTATTGATTTTCTTTTCCATGGCTTCAACTGCAGTCATCGTCACCTCGTAGACTAGCAGTGGCCATAGAAGCTTCGGAATCAACATGAATTGGAGACACCATACCTTGAATTTTCCGATCAGCCTGCATCGCTCGATCGCGAGCAGGCCTGTAGCCAGTGACTCATGTATTCGCCGGACTTCCGCTCTGTCAGATAACTTCGAATCGTAGACGCGACCGAGGCTCTTCACCGGTTCCTCCAGAACCGTAGGGATCTTGTTCCTTGCCACCGTAAAACTGGTCGCCGAAACCTTGCCCTTATGGATTGACAGACTCCTCGACTTCTGCGGTTTGAACTGCATACCGCTCCATTGGACCACCGCGTCCAATCTATTCAGGATCGTGCGGGCAGACTCCTCGCTGCCCGTTATAATAGTCGTGTCATCCATAAATGCGCGCAGTGGCGGCAACCAGTGATCCCCTATTTGAAGGCCCAGTCCGTAGCCGGCCGCCCCGTCTAACATGATCTGCATTGCCATGACAAACAGTATGGGTGAGATCGTACAACCCATAGCTACCCCAATCTGCAACTCAGTCCACCTCGTGGTAAACGTCGAGGTAGAGAAGCGCAAAGCGAACTTAGAGAAATATTGCTCGACCATTTGACTGATCTGTGTCGGTACGTGAAACATGCGAAGGGCTCGCCACAGTAGCCTATGGGGGACTGCCCCGTAGGCGTTGGCTAAGTCCAACCATATAACGTGCAAATTGGTTCTCTCATGCTTGGCTCTCTGGATAGCCTCCCAAATCATGGTCGCGTGTTCAAGGCACCCAGGAACGCCTGGAATGCCACCCTTCTGAACACTCGTATCTATGTACTTGTTAGTCATCAGATACTGTGTGAGCCGGCGAGCCATGACTGAGAAGAATATCTTACCCTCAACATTCAACAGCGAGATGGGCCTGAATTGGGAAAGACTCTTCGAGTCCTGCTCTTTGGGAATGTAGACCCCATTTGCCTTTGACCACTCTGGACATATGTGATTGCGGATCCACGCTTGTCTCAACAAGACGTGAAGCATTTTAAGGATTTTCGGGCAGCGCTTGTAAAGAACGTACGGAACACCGTTCGGACCTGGGGCAGACTTGCCGCTGGCTTTTTTCACAACGTCCTCAACCTCAGACCAAAGGGGAGGTACCAGTTTAAATGGTACCTTCGGCACCGAAGGCTGTTTGAGTCCGCTAAGGATCTCTGGATTGTCATCGAGAGGCTCACTCCTCTTTTTATCCGAGTACATCTTGCTTAGATGTAGCTCAAGTTCTTTCTGACTGACAACCAGAGTCCCAGACTTCGGTTGCTCGAATAGACCTCGGGCGAACTGATACGGGTCCCTAAAGAATTTCTCTCGCTCCCTTTTGGTTCTTCGTCTGTTGTTACAGAAACGCTCGGCGCGACAGAGGGCACTGTGTTTGTTCTTTAAATGCAACCAAACTTCGTACAGCCCCTCCCGTTCGCTGCCTGTAGCGGCTTTGAACCGTTTTCTGAGGGCATTCTTGTCTGCCCGACACTTCAGAATGTCCCTCTGCCTCCTGCTAGTATTCTGCTTGGCACCCGGCTGTGCCTTTACTACTGTCCCGAACTCGCGGGAGCAGTGTTCATATATTACATCACCAAATTTAGTAAGCTTGTCGCC